TATCTAGGTAAATAGAATAGGCTATTTTCTTTCATTGAGTCCTTTTAAATATGCCTGACAGTTGAGAACAAACATTGTAATTCTGAGTGGTAGGGCGATCGATGTGTGTGACTGTGATACATATGACAACTGTAACATAAAGGGGGAGGGCAAAGGCACTTCTGTGTTTGTAAGCTTTCTTCATTTTACTTGAAGTGGTAAAATATTAACTCTAATATGTGTGAAAATTTAGGTAAGTATATTGTAATCCCCAGAGAAGCCACTATGAAGCCAATAGATAAATTTAAATGCAAAATGAAAAATATTCAAATAATCCAATAGAGGGAAAGAAAGAGGGAAAAAACAGAGGAAATTAAGAGAAAATAAATAATAAAGTGGTAGACCTAAATTCAATCATATCAATCACTACATTTAATGTAAGTGGTCTAAATATATGTACCAAATTTAAAAGATTGTCAGATTGGATTAAAAAAATATAATTAAGTGCTATTTATAAGAAACCTGCTTTAAATTTAATTAAATATGTAGTTCAAAAGTAACAGGAAGAAAAAAGATATACACATAACCACTAATCAAAAGAAAGCTGGAGTCCCTGTGTTAATATGAGACAAAGTAAACTTAAGAATAAGGAAAATTATCAAGGATAAAGAAGGACCTGCAAAGGAGAAAAAGTTCAATTTTCCAAGACATAACAATTCCAAAGATGTATGCTCTGAACATCAGAGCTTCAAAAAAAAAAAAAAATGAAACAAAACTGATAGAACTGAAAGGAGAAATAGACAAATCCACATTTCTACTAGGAGACTGCAACACTTCTCTCTCAGACAGAAAATTTGCAAAGTTGTAGAAGACCTGAACAACATTATTGGTTGACCTGAGTGGCATTTATAGAAAATTCACATACCAACAGCAGAATACACATTCTTCTCAAGTGCACACGGAACCAATATGCTGGGCCATCAACAAACCTTAACAAATTTAAAATAACAAATGTACTAAGTGTGTTCTCTGGCCAAAAGAGAATCAAAATAGAAATCAACAACAGAATCACATCTGGAAGATCCTCATATATTTGAAAATTAAGCAATGTACTCCCAAATAATCTGTAATCCAAAAACCTCAACGGAAATTGGGATTTCCTCGTTTGCTTCCTTTGTTTTAGCCTCTTTTTCTCTTGGGTCATCTGTCTTTTCCTTATTGTCTGGGAGAGGTTCTACATAGTCTGTACATGAATCATTTGTGGATAATGTGCTATTAATGTCTTCTCCCTCTGAGCTTTTTAGTCTTGCTGTTTTTATAGTGTCTTTGTCGAACAGGCGTTCTTAATTTCAATATGGTCAAATTTATTCATTTTGTTATGATTAGTGCTTTTCTTTTCTTACTAAAGAAATCCCTCCCTATCTTGAAGATATTCTCTAATTTATCCTATACAGATCTTTCTCACCTTCAGAAGGGGTTATGTCTAGTAAATGTGCTGGAGGCTGAAAATATCATAAGGCAAAAATGCATTTAATATGCCAAACCTACTGACCATCCTAGCTTAGCCTAGCCTGACCTGAAATGTGCTCAGAACACTTACATTAGCCTGCAGTTGGGCAAAATCATCTAACACAAAGCCTGTTTCATATTTATTATAAAGTGTTGAATGTCTTGTGCAATTTATTGAACACTATTTTGAAAGTGGAACAGCACGGCCGCGTGGGTCAGGACGGCTGTCAGTGTGTTGGTTGTTCATCCTCGTGGTCGTGGCTGACTGGGAGCTGCGCTCGCTGCCGCTGCCTAGCATCACCCAAGAGGATTGTTCCACACATCACCAGCCCAGGAAGGAGCAAAATTAAAAATTCGAAGCATGGTTTCTACTTAGCGCATATTGCTTTCGCACCAATGTAAAGTCAAAAAATCATAAGTCAAACCATTGTAAGTTCAGGACTTTCTTATAAGATTTATAATCTAGTCTTTAACATTAGGTAATTAAATCACCTAGAATTGATTTGTATGTATAGTGTGATGTAGTGGGACCATTTAAGCTCCCATGTTCTAAACCAATTATTCTGGCGGCGTTGATTGAAAAAATAATCCTTTCCATGCCATTTCTAGTATATATCGTGTCCAAATATGGATCTGTTTCTGGACTCTCTTTTGGGCCATTGTTCTATTTGGTAAATTCTATGCCAACACCGCAATGTCTTATTACAACAGTTTTATAAGAAGTCTTGATTTGGTATGTCTTCTTGGATTATTACTAAATAATAACTGTCTTAATTATTAAATAGAATAGTCTTGACTATTCTTTTCTCTTTACATTTCATATAAACTTTAGAATTAGCCATCCAAGTTTCAAAAACAAAGCTAGTTATGATTTTATTGAAATTACAATGAAAATACACATTAATTTGGCAAGAATTGATGTTTACAATTTTTAATCTTCCATCTTACAAACCATCACCAAGGTAGGTTTCTCTGTCTATTTAGGACTTCTTTAAGAACTTTTAATAAAGTATTATAATTTCCCCTGTAAAATGTTTGTATGGTTTTTGTTATATTATCTCTGGGCACTCGGTATTTTTTCATGTTTATATAAATTATAACTTTTTAAAATTTTATTTTTGGATACTGACATGTATTTTATATATTACTTTTACATATTCTGTATCCAGAAATTTTGCTAAAAATTCCTATTAACTCGTATAGTTTATCTGTTCATTCTTTTGAGTTTTTACACTCAAAGTATCATCTGAAAATAATGACTGTATTATTATTTTAATTTCCAGTTGTTATCCATTTATTTCCTTTTCCTGCTTATGGGCTAGCTTCAAGCTCCTCTGCACAGTGAAATACAATGCCAGGGGCCACCCCGCCTTGTCTGACCGCAGTGGGCTATTCTTCAGTGTTATTTACTAGGATGTTTGTTGTAGGTTCTCTTCTCCTGGCTTTCTCATAAAACACACGTTACTTACATATCACTGACAAAGTGATTCTCCCACATGCAAAGCCACTCACATTACTTCCTCTTCTTAAAATATTTTAGAGGCTCTTGTCAAAAATAAACACAGTTGAACATTAGTTAAAGTGGCAAAACAGATTATATTCAGTAAACTACTGACGGTAGGGGAAAGAAATCCATTCCGACTTGTGCAGAGATGTTTGGGCATTTTCAAAGGGAGAATGAGCAAGGGGTGCAAGTCAGAGAAGTGAAAAATTACAAAGGATTGGTTGGTGTAAATGACATTAGGCCAACTGGATCTGCTGGCTGGCAACTATCAAAGTTATGATTCTGTCCTCTCACGGAGACTGGGAGACAGAGGCCCCATCCTTCCTGATGATTACATTTCTAAGGAAAGACACTCTTGAGTTAGAGGAGATACATATACACCTTAAAGGTACATAGGCAGGATTTACAACTGTAAGCCTTTTTTAGTAAATGTGCTAAGAAAGGGAGGTCGAGGGCCCATTATCAGGTGTTGGCTAGAACTAACAACAAATTCTCCCAGCAGGATTGGGCTTTCCCACGGGGCTAGGATCATCCTAAGGATATAGCCTTATGCTGCCAGAAGCCAACCTAGTGTTTGGTCATCTCTTAGTTCAGAGGTTTGGGTGGAGTCATTATGTATGGAGAGTTATACAGTTCCTACTCTTCATGAACTTCAAGATAAAATGAATGTGTGAGCTTAGCGCTAAGACCTTTTCTGAGCGACCACCCCCACACCTTCCTAGTCTTTTCTCCTGACCCTCCTTTACCTGAAGCTTTTATTACACTCCTAGAATTTACTTCCAGTTTTCCAAACATGCTTTTGCTCCATTCTTTCATGTCATTACCCATAATGACCCTTGGCTTGGAAAATCATTTGCTACTCAAAGCTTCTTAGCCTCAAGGATCAGCTCAAGTGTTTCTTCTATTGGAATTTTCTGGAACCTGGTCAATGTGGGTACTTCTCTTCTGTGCTTCCAGCAGCCAATACACACACCTCTCAGGCAATTACTCCTCTTACTGAATGGAAACTATTGGTTTCCTGCTCATGTCCGTATCTACTCTGGAAGCTCCTAGAAGGCAGGGACTCTCACTCATATCTGCAGTCTCAGTGAGGGGCACAGTGGCTTCCGGTGTTTGAGTCAGATGCATTGCTCAGCTAATTTTCAGACTTTTTCTTTTCTGCTGTAAGCATAAGGACACACATTTCTAAGAACTGCTTACATGCATCATACAGCTTTTAAAATGCAGGACTTTTCTCATTTTTAATAATTAATAGGCTATTTTTAGAGCAGTTTTATGTTTACAGAAAAATTAGGCAGAAGGTACAGAGTTCATATCCCTTCCACACACAATACACAGTTTCGCTATTATAAATGTAGTGTGGTGCATTTGTTACAATTGATGAGCCAATGTTGATACATTATTATTAAAGAAACTCCATAGTTTACATGAGAGTTCATTCTTTGTGCTGTATAGTTCTACAGAACTTGACAAATGCTAATATCATGTATCCACCATTATAGGATCAAACAGAATAGCTTCACTGACATAAAAATGCCCTGTGCTCCACCTACTCATCCCTCTTCCCAGCCAAACCTCTGGCAACTATTGATCTTTCCACTGTGTCCATAGTTTTGTCTTTTCTAGAATGTCATATAGTTGCAATCAACAGTATGTAGCTCCTCAGGCTAGTTTCTTTCACTTAATAATATGCATTTAAGGTTCTTCCATGTCATTTGGGGCTTAATAGCTCATTTCCTTTTACCACTGAATAATATTCCATTGTATGAATGCACAAGCCAGCCCTAGTAGTCTTGTGATGAAGATCTGGTGCTCTCACAGCCGAGGCCCAGGTTCGTTTCCCAGTCAGGGAAGCGCATCAGTCATCTATCAGTTGGCATACTGTGGTGGCTGCATGTTGCTGCGATGCTGACAGCTATGCCACCAGTATTTCAAATACCAGCAGGGTCACCCATGGTGGAGCTTCCAGACTAAGGCAAACTAGGAAGAAGGACCTGGCCACCCACTCATGGCCAATGGAAAAATTGGCCATGAAAACCCTATGAATAGCGGCAGAGCATTTTTCGATGTTGTGCTGCAAGATGAGGGGATAGCACAGGAGGACCAGGTAGGGTTCTGCTCTGCTACACACAGGCTTGCCAAGAGTCAGAATTGACTCAGCAGCACTAACAATAAAGAGACGCACTAGAGTTTGTTTATACATTCACCTGTTGAAGGACATCTTGGTTGCTTCCAAGTTTTCGCAATTACGAGTCAAGCTTCTGTAAATACTTATGTGCAAGTTTTTGTGTAGACATAAGCTTTCAGTTTATTTGGGTAAATAACAAAGAGCACGATTGCTGGATCATATGGTAAGAGTATACTTACCTTTGTAGGAAACCATCGACCTGTCTTTAAAAGTGGGTTTACTGAGACGGGGTTCAAGATGGCAGCCTATGAAGGCCCTGAACTCACTTCCTCCCATGGACACAACAAATTTACAGCTATATATGGAATATTTTTTTTCTCTGAAAGGGACTGAGAACTAGGTGAACAGCATTTCCATGACAAAAGCTAAAAGAGATGCATCGAGATGGGTAAGACGGGCAGAGACTCAGTCTCATCCCAGGTCTCACAATCGAGAAGGGATTACAGAACTTTCCTCAGGGAGTAAAGGTGCCATGCCCCCCATGACCCTTGGGTCTGGCACAGGAAAGATGAGACCCCAAAATGTCTGGTTTTGAAAGTCAACAGAGATTAAGCTAAGAGAACCATAGAAGTATAAGGAACAGAAAATCTAGTCTTAAAGAGCTTGTGTGCAGACCCACTCACCCTGCAATCCAGAGCAAAAGCAACAGTTTGAAAAGCACCTAGACCACAAGTGAGGAAAACCCATTTACTAACTCTAAAGTAGCTACTGGAGAAGCAGGAACCTGCAGTGACTTTCTCCAGGGATGGAAACACTGGTGGGTGCCATTTTTGTAATCTCATTCTAACTTATTGGTGACACAGCTAGCAGGTGCCATTTTTGGTGCTCTCCTATTAGCCTGCTAGCATCAGTGACTGTGCTCTTTGCCCCACCCACCTCACACAGCAGCAGCACCACAAGGAGCTGGGCAAGTGCACCACACCCCACTCTCCCCGTGCAGCAGCCCTGCAGCAACCAGACTGGTGAGTGTCCTGTCCAGCCCACCCCATGTATCAGCCATGCCACACTCGCACCAGGTGAGCACATCATGCCCCACCCTCGCTGCTCAGCAGCTGCAGCCCTGCCACACCTGGTGGGGGCATCCAGTCTGCATGAAGGATGCCCCTTGAGCACTGGGCTCTGGAGGCCACAGGGATTTCACTTTTGTAGCACACAAATCATCTCCTACACAAGACCACACCTTCAAGACAGGGAGAGGTAGCCGTTTTGCCTAATACATATAGACAAACACAAAGAGTCAGGCAAAATGAGGAGTAAGAGGAATAAGTTCCAACCTAAGAATAAAATATATCCCCAGAAAAAGACCTTAATGAAATGGAGATAAGCAGTCTACCTGATAAAGAATTCAAAGTAATGGTCATAAAGATGCTCACTGATCTCGGGATAAGAATGGATGAACACAGTGAGAGCTTCAACAAAGAGATGGAAAATACAAGAAAGTACCAAACAGAGGTTACAACTGAACTAAAAAACACAGTAGAGGGGTTCAACAGCAGAAAGGATGAAGTAGAAGCACAAATCAGAGAGCTGGAAGATGAAGCAATGGGTCTCACGCAGACAGAGCAGCAATAAGAAAAAAGAATTTAAGGGACCTGTGGGACAACATCAAGTGGATTAACATTTGCATTAAGGGTGCCAGAAGGAGAAGAGAGAGAGAAAGGGCTAGAAAAAATTTTGAAGAAATTATGGCAGAAAACTTCCCTAATCTGGGAAAGGAAACAGACATCCAGATTCAGGAACCCCAAAGAGTTCCAAATAAGATGAAACCAAAGAGAGTGACACCAAGACATATTATAATTAAAATGGTAAAAGTTAATGATAAAAAAAGAATCTTAAAAATAGCTAGAGAAAAACAATTTATTGCATACAAGGGAAACCCCATAAGGCTATCAGCAGATTTTTCAGCAGAAAGTCTCCAGGCCAGAAGGAAGTGGCATAACATATCCAAAGTGCTAAAAGGAAAATATTTACAACCAAAAATACTCTACCCAGCTTATGATTCAGAAATGAAGAAGAGATAAAGAGTTTCCCAGACAAGCAAAAGCCAAAGGAGTACATCATCACTAAATCATTCTTAGAAAAAATGTTAAACAGGTCTTTTTTAAGTGAAAAAGAAAATACCATAACTAGAAATAAGAAAATATAAGAAAGAAAAAAACTCACTGCTAAAGGCAAATTTATGGCAAAAATTGTGGATTGACCACTTATAAAGCTAGTTTAAAGGTTAAAAAACAAAAGTAGTAAAATCAACTATAACTACAAGTAGTTAAGAGATACACAAGATTAAAAGATGTAAAATATGATGTCAAACATAAAACATGGGGAGTGAGGAGTAAAATGTGGAGCTTGTAGAATGTGTTCAGACTTAAGTGACTATCAACTTAAAATAGACTGCTATATATAGGTTGTTATATATAAACGTCATGGTAACCACAAGCCAAAAACATATAATACATACACAAAAATAAAGAGAACAGAATCAAACATAACACTAAAGAAAGTCATCAAACTACAAATGAAAAGAGCAAGAGGAGAAAGGAACAGAAAACTACAAAAGCAACTGGAAAACAATTAACAAAATGACAGTAAGTGCATACTTATCAATAATTACTTTAAACATAAATGGACTAAATTCTCCAATCAAAAAACACACAGTGGCTGAACAGATAAAGAAATAAGACCCATCTGTATACTGCCTACAAGAGACCCACTTCAGTTCTAAAGACACGCACAGACTGAAAGTGAAAAGATGGAGAAAGATACTCCCTGCAAAGGGAAACAAAGAGAAAGCAGGGGTAGCAATACTCATATCACACAAAATAGACTTTAAAACAAAGACTGTAACAAAAGACAAAGAAGGGCACTACATAATGATAAAGGAGTCAATCCAACAAAAGGATACAAAATTTGTAGATATTTATGCACCTAACACAGAAGCACCTAAATATATAAAGCAAATATTAACAGACATAAAGAGATAAATTGATGGAAGCACAATAAAAGTGGGGAACGTTAATACTCCACTGACATAAATGGATAGATCATCCAAATAGAAGATCAATAAAGAAACATTGACCATAAATGATACATTTATGGATTTAATAAATATATACAGAACATTCCATCTAGAAATAGCAGAATACACATTCTTTTCAAGTACATATGGAACATTCTCCAAAATAGATCACATGTTAGGCCACAAGATAAGTCTCAATGAATTTAAGAAGATTGAAATCATATCAAGCATCTTTTCCAACCACAGTTGTATGAAAATAAAAATTGATTACAAGAATAAAAATGGAAAAAACACGAACATGTGGAGACTAAACAACATGCTACTAAGCAACCAATGGGCCAACAAGGAAATCAAAGAATAAAGAAAAAATACTTTGAGACAAATGAAAATGGTCCAAAATTTATGAGAGGCAACAAAGCCGTCCTAGGAGGGAAGGTCATAGCAGTACAGCTCTATCTCAAGACACAAGAAAAATTTCAGATAAACATCTAACTTTTCACCTAAAGCAATCAGAAAAAGAAGAACGAACAAAACCCCAAATTAGTTGAAGAAAGGAAATAATAAAGATCAGAGTGGAAATAAGTCAAATAGAGGGTAAAAAAACAATAGAAAAGATAAATGAAACTAATAGCTGGTTCTTTGAAAAGATAAACAAAAATGGTACACCTTTAGTCAGACTCATCATGAAAGAAAAAGGGCCCAAATAAATAATCAGAAATGAAAAAGGAGAAATTATAACTGACACTACAGAAATACAAAGGATCATAAGAGACTACTATGAACATTTATATGCCAACATATTGGATAACCTAGAAGAAAGGGATAAATTCTTAGAAACATACAATCTTCCAAAACTGAGTCATCAAGAAATATAAAATCTGGAGGATTAGTCAAGATGGTGGCGTAAGCAGACTCTGAACTCATTTCCTCCCACGAACACAACCAGGTTACAACTATTTTTGGAAAAATTACCATGGAGAGAAAACTGAAAACTGCATAAAAAGAACCCCCACAACAAGGGACAGTCCTACTAAGGCAGAAGAGGCAGAAATTCCTTCTGGAGAGGAAAAAAGCCACCTTTGGGAGCAGCGGAGCTTCTCAGCTGGCCAGCCGGGAGCCACCCTAAGGTACGCAGCCCTCCCTGGAGGAGTGAGGTCTGGAGCAGGGCCAATACTGCTATAAGCATCCTTCAGACTCAGCACAACTGAGACGAGTGTCTTACTGTCTCGCTTTGCTGGATATTAACTGCAGGGAGGATACCCCCAGAAAAGCTATCAGCCAAAAGCTGAAAAGACCCAGGTCTTAAAGGTCCCACGCACAAACTCACTCCTTGCAACAAACTAAAATCACCAGAGAGAAGGCTGACAGTCCTTTGGTGAAACGAGACTCACCTGGTGGGTTCTGGGGGCATCTTGGTGAGAGGAGGGACCTCTCTGGAGACTGAGACATTGGTGGGGGCCGTTGTTCTGAGCTTGTCCAGGCGCGCTGACACAGACCGTCGTGGGTGGCATTGAAGTTCATCCCTTGGCCTGTTAGCCGAGGGGTCTGCCATGCCCACTAGAGCACAGATTTAATCCAGTTCAGCCAAGGCAGGCAACCCACCCTAGGGAGCGGCCCCACCTAACAGCAAGCCCTCAGGCTACTTTTAGCCTGCATTGACTGGGTGCCTTGATCCTCTACAGGCAGGTAAGGATGTCTGCCTCTGTGGGGCAGGGCCTGTGTGAGGACCAGATGAACTGTGGGAGGTGTTGGTAGAGAGGTAGGGGCCTCTGCAGTGTGGCGTTGGGGTACGCTTCAGGGGGTTGAGAACTGTGCAGGACCAGGACTGTGTTGAAGGTCTGTGGGGTCCTGTGGGGGGTGAGGCTTATCAGTGGCAGAAGACCTGTGCTTCACAAATAGCCATAAAAAGGATCAGCTCCACCTCCCAAAGCCTGAAACAATTGAGTGCCCCCATGCCTAGGGCCAGCCCCACTCAGCTGCACTCCTAAGAGAACTGACATCAGCCTTGTTGGCCTCAGGCCTATCACAACTGTAAGCCCCTGAGCCTAGCAACCAGCTACACTGGGTACCAACCCAATTAAGAGGAAAACTGCAATAGGAGGGTGCTGATAGACTTTGTAACCAACACTGCTGAAGCTCCCCAAACCAGATTTACAAACAGCTAACCAGGGAAGGAAAGACTAGACTCCCTGGGTACCTGCAGTGGGAGCAACCCTGCCACAGAAGAGGAACACAAGTAGCCCACAAAGGGGTCACTCCTGGATCTTCTGGACTGGTGACTAGAGGGAAGCACACTGCTGGGGCTCATAAGGCATCTCATACATTAGGCCACTTCTCCAAGATCAGGAGACATAGCCAACTCACCTAATACATAGAAATAAGCACAGAGAAGAGGCATAATGAGGAGACAAAGGAATATTTTCCAAGCAAGAGACAAGGACAAAACTCCAGAAAGAGGACTAAATGAAACAGAAACAAGTGACCTACTCGACAAAAAGTTCAAACAAAATATCCTGAGGATGCTCAGAGATATGGGGAGAAGACTGGATGAACACAGTAAGCACATCAGCAAAGAAATGGAAGATATAAAAAAAAATCAGAAATGAAGAATACAATACTGGAAATGAGAAATTCACTAGAGGGACTCAATAGCAGAGTAGAGGATGCAGAAGAACGGATCAGTGAACTAGATGAAAGTCTAGAGGAAATCACCCAAGCAGAACAGAAAAAAGAATTAGACAGAATGAGAACAGTCTAAGAGAACTCTGGGACAATATCAAGCATGCTACCATTCGGATTATAGGTGTCCCAGAAGGAGAAGAGAGAGACAAAGGGGCAGAAAATGTATATGAAGAAATAGTAGATGAAAATTTTCTTAACCTGAGGAAGGAAACAGACATCCAACTTCAGGAAGCACAGAGAGCTCCAAACAAGATAAGCCCAAAG